CTCTGAGTTGCCAGGAACATGTTTCCGTCTTGGTTTCTTTTCTTTTATTTCTTTTTAACTGTTGCTAAACTGTTATAGGAGTAATTCTAGCTGTGAGAAACACTACTGCTGAAAAAGCACAAAGTTTCCACGACTACAAGTCAACACAGTCAAATGCGAAGGTCATTTTCATTGATGTTTAGGTTATGCGTATGTTTGAATTCATAAAATCAATTTCCAATGAAGGCCTTTTTTGCAGCGATAATCTGGAGATTTCCCTCCAAAGCGTCACTTGTCAGCAATGCTGTCAAATCATAAAACATAAAGATGACATTTTTAGCTTTTTGTAAGTGATGTATCTCTTCAGCAAACTCAAAGATTTGGGAGATTTTGTATTTATTACCAGAGAGAAATTTAAGCCTATTGCCTAACCCGGTTTTGCTAACGAACCTACGGAGAGCCCAATTTCAGGAAGTTCGATTTTAGTTACACGGCGTCTTAGGAAGACCATAAAAATTGGCTAGTTTAGCCTAAGGCTTTCTGATACTAGGTTGGCGATCAGCGCTTGTTTTTAGAGGGGGCAAGAAAACCTTCAAGGTTTATCTCAAGCCTTAAAATGGCAGACCCCTCTAGTTGTTTGATTTATGCTCTTTCAGTCTCTGGAATTTTTAAGGTTAAATCTCCGATACATTTCGCAGGAATTAGATCACCCCGAACCCCGATCTGCGAGACACCATAATCTCGCAAGAATTTTCAAAACTTGCCCCATGCTGGGCAAAAAAAGTGCCTTTTTTAACGTTTATGCTGTGAGAGATCATGTAATTAATAACGCTTAATCACAACAGTCCATTGCATTGTTTCCTTACCACCAAAACAAATTGTTCTACGCTCCTAACGGAGATAGGATACTAGATATCATGAAATATGAAACGAATGGCTAATTTTTACTGATTCACTAGACGTAACTGAGTTCCAACTTGAAACAACTTAAAATCGCTGCCGGAGAGGTAAGATTTGAGAGAACGTACCGTCATCCAACTTACCCATGACTTCCAAATACTTTGTTTTTTTATTTCCTATCATGAAAGTCTCATCCCTCAATAACACTAAAACCATGCCTTTGTTTAAATAGTAGTTCCATTCTGTGGCGGATGCATGTCTGCCGGTATGCTTGTCTGAAGAAAGTGGGCTTTAAAAAGTGCACTTAATACCGTTTCCGTTTATCATATCCATAGGATAACAGACGTCATAAAGTTTGCAAACCAAAGGATAGTATAGGGCCTTTTACTCTTAAGTTCATGGCTATCTCTAGTGCGACCAAAAAACTTCACGAAGGAAGAACGAACGGGGAAAGTGTGATAGCAGTGGTAAAAACATTTGGCAGGAAGGAAAAAATAAATCTCTTTTATTGCCCGCAAGCCTGCTTGGCAGGCGCGAGGGAGAAAGGAAAGGAACCACATGTATCCCGAGCTCGAAATATGAGCATCAGCGAACATCGGCATTGTTGCGTAACATTCTTAATATAAGGAGATTTGTTTTGAGGAAAAAAACCATCGTTTCTGTAACCTAGGAACACACATTTTATGTAATGTTATCTGAGATAACCTTACATAAAATGTTAGATCTCTCCTGTGTGGTCCATGGGCCGATTTATGGCCGTTTTATGGGTTGTACTGTAAACGGTTTTCTGTCTATAACCTTTCCCGTCTGAAGTCATCGACAGAACCTTGGCTTGAACTCTGCGTTACCATTGAAAGATAGCGACACAGCGTGAGACTCAAATTACTCGCACTCGGAGGTGGGAGACAATCTCTTGCTCCAAAGAAAACAACGGGAGAAAGAGACGATTGGAGCCGTTGGAGCGAATTTACAGCCGTTTTCTTTCGGTGGATTCGACGGGCCTCTTCGCTGAAGTCCCCAACCTTGGTAAACCTTATATATAGAGAGAAAACCGTTTACAGCCCAACCCATCTAACGGCCATAAATCGGCCCATGGACCACAAAGGAGAGATGTAACACACATTTTAGATAAGGTAAGGTGTTTTTTATTGAAATCCTTTAATTTTCCTAGGTTACAGAAACGATAGGTTTTTTTCTCAAATAAATCCTTATATTTAGAATGTTACACAACAAAGCCGATGCTCGCCGTTGCTCATATTTCGAGCTTGGGCGAGCTGTGAAGGAACGCCTGCAAGGAGACCATTGTTTTCTTCATTTTTCACGCTCAGATTCTGAGTGTGAAAATAGTGATTGGTGTGAATTAATAATTTGCAAATCTCCGACTTCATACCTTTTCCCGATTGGTTGAAAACAACATCACGCCGTTTTCGTAACTAAAAATATTTTGTTAGTGAAGCGTTATGACATTTCTCCACCGGAATTCATCGTTGGAAGACATTAATTTCAGCTTGTAATGAAAATAGAAAAAAGCAGTTGAAGAACTGTATGAAGGAAAAGGCCTGTCGGCAGATGATCGCGAGTTTTACTGACTGGTTTTGAACAGTAACATCTCCCAACGGCTTGTCGGTTTTACTCACTAGAAGAAAGAAAGGAAAAATCATGCTGCCTAAGTGCTTGTTATCTGCTGTTTCACACGCGTTCCCAACGGCAAAATTGTTGAAGACGACGCGATCTATAACCCTCAGTGATTTTTGGTTGAGGACTTCTTCTTCCTGGTTATAAAACCGTCACTTTAACAATTAATTGCTGCCTTCTTGCAAATCTTCGAAGTTCAGCTCTTCTTTCTCCGCTACCAGCGTTCTTTTGTGTGCTCCGCTGGATCTAATTCCTCCTGATAAAAATTCAAAGAGTGACAGCAACGTGTTTCAATTTTTCTTAGAGAAACATCGCATTGAAAGTTGCGAAGCCCGATTCCTTTAGCAACAACTTGAATAGGTTTATGCTGGATTTTATGTAACTCGTCACGCATCGTTGCAACTTTCAAGGAAGATTTATTCCTTCAAGGGACGACGTTTGAACGTTTTTATACAGTACCTTCACTTTAGATTTCTTGTTTTAGGAAAACAAAAGAAAAACAGTGCAAGAAATACGACCAGAATACGCGCATCGCGGCCAGACTTATTTGACAGCTAGTCATTCACGGTTGCGGTATTTTTGTTATCTATTTAATTAGAAGGCGGGATGGCGAAAACAATGGCTTGCTTGCAGGCGTTCCTCTCTTTCCTTCTCCCTCGCGCGCGGTCTCTTGTCTTCAATTCCCTTCCCCTTCCCTTTCTAACGCCTGCCACGCAGGCTAATTGCCCGCACGCTTAATGCATGTATGATAATAAACACTTAATTTGTACGCGCGATCCTTAAAAAATTAGGCCACGTGCTGTGATTGGTTGGAAGCGAGGAAGTTAAGAAGAGGTTTTGTGGCTATTTCAAAACAAACAAAATAAACAGGGGAAAAAACATATCTCTGAATGTTAATTAACGCATTAAACAGGAAGCAAAGAGTCGCAATATTTGAGAGAATTTGAAAATAAAAATTTCGTAATATTACAGCCTTAATACAGGTTCTTTTAAGTAACTCCATGGGCTTCTTCTCGAGTACCTTAGTCCGCATCAGGTAATGTTTTGAAGAAGCATGCAAATTTCTGTTTCCAATAAATATATATATTTCCGTATGAGATTTTCTGTTTTTTAATCATATCAGTTTTAATCGCTAGGGTGCCGAGGGCACCCCCTTTCTTTTTGGAAGAAAAGTATTCAAACGTGTAACGGCATTTCGAGCCGGTAAGATACGCAAGTTTTGTTTAAGAAGAGACACGTACGATGGCAGAATGATAAATTTAAACGCGTTTCAATTTTTTTCTGCTAGTAATCTTGTTACTATGACTCTCAATTGTAAAATTTGTAATTTAGGTTTTAAAATAACATAGTCTGAGCAGGTGTTCAGTCATGAATATTTAGTATTTTCCTCAGAACAATCTTAAGCTTTAACTAAGCAGATCTAACACTTTACTTAGAAACATGGACTATATTCTTTTGTAATGTTCGTAAATGTGTTGGAATGATCATTTCTTCAATTACGGGAATATAAAATTAGCGAAACGAGAAAGCCTTCGTTAAGAAAACTCTCAAATCGATTATTTTACTGATAAATTAAAGACAAAAAAAGCTGTATGAAACCGATAACTACATATTTCGAGGACCCCCGAGGCGTGCGGTTATTAAAAAGATATATGATATTTTGATCTTCTGTGCATATTGATAATAATCCATAAAGGCACAGATTTACAGGGAAAAAGAAGTGTATTGAAAGATTTTTTCTTTGTCCCTGCTGTTCTAATCGATATTTAGGAGTTAAGCTGCGAACTAGTTTGGCGTGTGTGAATTAGCAACCCCTTTTTTCATAATGCTAATTCCTATTTCCTGTCACGTATTTTACTATCATGTAATTGGATCAATAACCAGTATCGCCCTCTAGCAGACTTTCGCTCAGAAACAACGACGAAAGCCAACCAATGCAACGTGAGACAAAACAAGTGAAGAGTGTCATACCAGAATTTTGATCTGATTTGAAATCTGTTACAAATGTGGTCAGTTTCTGGCATAGCTCGCGAAGCCTCACATCATAAACTTGCACAGTCGAGTAAGATATTCGTTTACAAAAGTCTCAACAGAGTGGCATACTTTGTTTTAAGTATACTGCGTAGATTAATGTGTTCCTATTTCTTCCCGCAGAAAATGAACTTCGCTTCAAATAACAGCTCTTTAAACGAACCAGGAAATGAAGCGACCTCATCATCAACGGCATGTTACGTCAATGATACCTGGTCAGTCAAACTGGGACGAATAATCGCATACAGTGTTGTAATACTAGCATCATTGTTGGGAAATATCTTTATCATAGCCGTTGTCCACAAGTATGGGAAAACCCGAAAAACGGTTAATTATGCAGTTGTTAACATGGCGGCCGCCAGTCTTATTATTACAACGACTTACATGCCAAGGTTAATTCCCATGTTTTTAATCGGTTCAGACTGGCTCGTACAAGGTAGCGCGGGTTACGCCTTATGCAAGACTGTTCCATTTCTCCATGGAGTTGCTATTCTTGCGTCCGTAATGACTTTGCTGACATCCAGTGTAGATACGTTTCTTGCCGTCGTCTTTCCACTCAAGAAATTATTCACACCCAAAGTTGCGAAGCTCGCCATATTCTTGACATGGGCCTTGTCTGTGATTTCCAGGCTTCCATATCTTTTAGCTTTAAAGACGAAGATGTCCGGAGCCAGACAAATCTGCAGCGGAAGATTAGACAACGCGTTTAGCAACGAAAACGCTCGAGCAATCTACTACACATTTCTTCTGATCACATTTTACGCTTTTCCATGGCTAGCGATTTCAATCTTCTATTCAACTGTGGCTTTTATACTCAAAAGAGGTAAAACTCCGCGTCAAGAAGGTATCACGGCTGTACGATTGAACAGAGCTCGAGGAAGAGCTACAAAGAAAGTTCTTAAAATGATGGTTGTGATAACTATTGTTTTTCTCGTATGTTGGATTACTTATTTCCTAGTTTTCCTTATTTTCAGTAAAGTGCCCTGTAGCGTTAGATTCTGGCGTCTGTTTCTTGCACATTGTAACTGCGCCATAAACCCAATTTTATTTTCGGTATTTAACACTACCGTTCAAAGAGGTATCAGAGACGTTCTCAGGAAATGTCGCGGATCGGCAAGACAGTCTTCCGCCTCCGATGGATTCCTCGGGAGCATATTTACAAGAGCGATGAAAAGAAAGAAAATGTACATTTCACCAAGGAGAAAATCAAAAGCATTTTCCATTGATGTTTCTCTAAACATGGTAACCTTTAATGGAATAAGTGGCAAGACAGAAGCTTCGAGAGGGAAAATTGCTGAATCTGAACTCGGAAGTATAATAAATGAAGGATTTTATAAGAAGGCATCTTATACCAGCTCTATCATTGGTTTTAGAAACCTCGAATGCTAA